GACTAATTCTTAAGGGCTGGAATGGTGGCTCCATTACTATAGAAAGAAGTTCAATGTGGTGGAATTACAAAGGCTTCGTCATGTGTTTATTATCACTTTTCACAGAACACATTTGAAACTGAGTTAAACTTTCTAAAGAATTCTACAACATGGGAGTTTTTGAAACTATTTTTTACTTAAATGACATTTTTCCTTCTAATCTTCAGTGTTATCTGCCATTAACCAAGCTTTTGGCACTTTTTCATAAGTAAAATGATACAAATTTATTTCATTTTCTGTTTGGTTGTTTTAGACAGGGTCTCACTACATAGTTGAGGCTGGCCTTGAACTCACAGCATAGCCCAGGCTGGCCTCAACCTTGCAGAAATCCTTCTGCCTCAGCCTCCGGAGTGCTGGGAATACAGGTGTATGCCACCACTTCTGGCCTTACAAATTTATTTTAATATATTAGCTATAAGTTTTCTATGTATTTAGTATGCTTATATAAATTTGAATTTTTCAGCTGCACTGGAATTATTTCTGTGGATTACAATCACCATTGCAAAAGGTATGCAAAATCTATATTTGAGCAAATTTCCTACTAATGGGAGTGAGTGCTTCAGTGTTGAAATCAAGGATCCCCATTTTCTATAACTGTGTGACCATTAGATGACAATATCTACTTAATAATTGATAATGTAAGTAGTTTTTGTTAATGTCAATGTTTCTCATCTTTATATAGCATATTGTTGAACCATCTCATCTTTGATTAGCATTACTGTTCCTTTGTGTTATTTTGTTTTTATGTTTCTTGCACGTTCCCTTTGTAGTAATAGTCAGTTACTGGTTCCTAAGAGATGATGGATGATTCGGTATGTAAAGATATTTATCATGCATTGCCATTGGGAAATACTTTTTGTTTCCTATTTATTTTGTTGTTTTACTTTTAGTTATGTTTTGAAATGTTCTGTTTTATGAGAGAAAGACAGACAGACAGACAGACATCCAAGCTCGCCAACAGTCACAAGCCCATGTCGGGAGAAGATTATAAGGGTAATGGATCAAGAGGAACGAAGTCTAAGTGCATGGTAAAATCTGTAAAATTTGTCGATGTGCAAGAATACGCTCCATGATCATAGGATTTAATATCTTCGCAAAGGGCCCAGGGCATGGTTCTAGTATGTTGGTGAGATGACTTTTGTAAGATGGAAAAAGAGCACTAGGGAGGGAGGGAGGGAGGGAGGGAAGGCATGAAGGCAGGGAAGGGAAGGGAAGGAATGGGAAGGGACGGGGTGCGGGAGGGAGACTGGAAAAAGAAAAGACCCACATTGCACAATGTAGACACGCCAGAACTACCATTACAAGTGGAGAGAAGGACTGAAATGTTCATAAAAACGGGCATGCTAGCGTGAGCCAGCAGGGTTGCCGTAGGAGCCCACCAGCTGGTCATATTTATATCCCTGGGAAGACCTGGGGGCTCTCTATTTCTTCAAGGAGATAAGAAATGTGTTGGTGAGAAGAGGGCAGTATCAAAAGAAACTTGATGGTTGCTGTCTTTTATAGGAGATACTGTTTCAGAATTAGGCTCTGTAGAGGAAGGTAAGAAAATTCCAAACTAGCAAACACCAACATAAGAAACAAGTTAAGTGAGAGCTGGAAATTTAGCTCACTGGCAAGGACATACCTGGTGTATGTAAGGCCTTAGGTTCAAATCCCAGCAAAAGAGAAAAAAGGGGGGAGAGAGGAAGTGGGGAGGAGGGGAGGAAAGAGGGAAAGAAGGAAGGAGGGACTGAGGGAGGGAAGGAAGGAAGGAGGAAGGAAGGAAGACATGCCTGTCCCAACACTCAAGAGCCTGAGGCAAGGGGACTATGAGTTTGAGGCCAGCCTGGGCTACATAGCAAAAAGCCCAAAAAACAACAAACAGCAGCAACAAAAACCCCAGTAGCTACAATTACCATAAAGGGAATAAAGTTGGTGGCCATGGGTCCTGACATGCAAAGATCTAGATTGATAGTAATCTTAGGGGCAAATTAGAAGGACAGCCAACTAAGATACTACTTAACGTATGCAGTTATTCAGAAGACATTAAGAATGGGTAAGAATAACAGTGAGAATAGCTCTCCAGTGAAAAATCAAAATTCACACTCCGTTTCCAGATCTGAGCCAGGTCAGTTCTACAGCTCATTGACTGAAGGAGAGACGAAGTCTCCAAGAGGAAGAATACTGTAAAACAAACGCAAGAATATGTAATCATGATTTTCCCCATATTTTCCAAAGGAATCTGGGGCCATTAAACTGGACTAACCATGCAGGGAACAAGGGAATATCCAGATATCTCGAAGGCTACTAGATACATGGTCTGAGCTGAAGCTGACACTAACCAGAAACAAATAGTGCCACCATGACCCCTCTTCTGCAATAGGAACAGAGGAGGTCATGTAACTGAAGCCCTAGCCCCTGGTCTGTGCCCTGTTGGGCCTATGAATTCCAAGAATAGGACTTTCTTTCTACAGTGCCTTAGCTGTACAGTGACCTAATGTGCACAGATTTTCTGACAAACATAGGATCCTCAGTGATATTGCTTCACAACAAAAGATGTGTGTGTGTGTGTGTGTGTGTGTGTGTGTGTGTGTGTGCGTGTTGGCAGAGCTAGAAACTGAAGCCGGAGCCTCAAGCATACTAGGAAAGGGATCTGCTATCAGGCTACATCTGCAGCCTCTACAACAAGACTCTGAAAGCAAAGCAGGTATGGTGGTAGCCTGTAACCACATTATACATGGTCTCACTATGTACCCCAATAGAGTCATGAATAGAACAATAGCAGTACCAGCTTAGAGATTTAAATCCTATGTATACAACATACAGTATACCTTTAAATAATAGCCATTTATGGTATGATGTTGGCAACATCATGGGTTCACATGGGTCTGTGAACAAAGGATATCACCACTCTTACGGATTCACTTAGGGAATTTATGCTTTCTGATCCTGAACGTTTAGCCTCTGTAGTTCTAGAAGTCCTGATTACCACTGTTTGGAAATGCTTTGCTATAATTTAAATGTGATTTCGAGCCCCCAAAGTCATATGCTAATGCTATTAAGAGGGTAAAAATTTAATCCAACTGTACTATTTAGTTGCAAGGTCTTTGGGAAGTAACTAGGATTAGACAGTCACTAGGGTGGAGCTCCCATGACTGAGTTCTGGTACCTTAATTAGAAGGGATGAGACATACAGAGACACATACATGGCTCTCTGTCCTGCCAAGTAATGCTGTGTGCTGCCTCAAGACTCTGCCAGCAACAAACCCACCCCCAGATAAGGACCCTGGACCTTACCCTTCTAGAACCAGGGGCCAAAATAAACTTCAATGAATTGTAAAGTAGCCTGTTTCTAGCACTTTGCTATAATAATGAAAAGGCGACTGCAAGTTTCTACCAAGGGACATAGTAAGCATCCTGGACTACATTTAAAGCTCCAGCTGTCCCTGATCGCTCCGGGTGACCAGCAAACACAGAAAGGGACTGCCATGGTGGATAACATAAATATTCTCGATCATGACGATGAGTCAGGGTAGCCACCACACAGTGGAACAGGAAAGAATAGGTCTGGCACTCTGATACTCCTCTAAGAATCACATACACACCCATGACCTGATATAGCTACAAACAGACACATTCAGCAACCCCAATCTGATAGCAACATGGAATCCAGGAACTCACTCCTACTAGCAAGGCCACCCAGACCAGAAGCCATGCTGGCCAGAGGGGTGGGAAACCTAAGACAGTGGTGGAGAGGAAGGTGAGGGTCTGTCACGCCTGAAGAACAAGTGAGGGCTGTGCTTTGTCCCCACCCTCCTTCTCTTTATGTTTTACAGAACTCACCAACCAGACACCCTGGGGTAGCTGCACATGCATGGAGGAACTTAATGTGAGAAGGGGTGTACACGGATGTAAGTAGACTTCCGGGGTTGCTTTGGGCGCTCTACCTAGACAGCTATTCCTGGCCTTTGGTACTTATTCCACTTCTGGGCCAGCTGATCACAACTGGCCACTGCTCCCTTTTCTGGAGAACTGCCCTTAGCCGATGAGAAGCCATCTCTCTAAGGAAGTGATACTCCCACACACTAGGTGCAGAGCAGATGGCATTTGGGCATACAGCAGGCCAGTCTCTCACCAGGAGGTGGAGCGAGCACTACTGCAGACCTTTTGCTCAGCTTTCCTGTGGGATCAGACCAAAGCTCATCTGTAGGCAAAATGACACTCGTGTAGCATTCTTCTTGCTCTATACACCTCTCACCCAGCAAAGCCTGAGTAAGGAGCACAGGACAATGCAGTCACACAGGGCCAGGTGCTCAGAAGGGCCTGGGGCTGGGGGTTTAAGCTCTGCCCTTGCTTTTAAAATCAATCAATCAATCTATCTATCTATCTATCTATGTATCTATCTTTGTTCCTTTTTCTTTTCTTTCTTTCTTTTTTAAGACAGGATCTTGCTTTGTTGCCCAGGCTAAGACTTAAACTCCTAGGCTCAAGCGATCCTCCTCTCAAGGAAGATCAAGAGATCAGCCACTCGGTAGCTGGGATTACAGGTTAATGCCACAGCACCCTGTTACATCTTGTCATTTTTAATACTTTTATCTTTGAATTTGTTTTGTGACACAGAATGTAAATTAAGGTAAGATGATTGAAATGTACAGGGACTCAGAGCCTCAGCTCACTGGTAATGCCATTTGCCATGGCCTCCCACTTCCCCAGCCCCTTGATACTCCTCTCTGCAAAGCATCTCCCTCCCTGCCCTGTTCAGTGCCAGCTGCGTCCCTCCAGCCCTCATATGGGCCGGTGTGCAAGGACAGGGGCTAAGGAAGGGTTGGGCATGCACTCTCCTCGGGCAGGAGATGGTGGTGGCTGCCCCTGCCCCTGGCCAACAGCACGGGGGCACATCTGGCAGGCATCATGACAAGGACAAGCCTTTCCCTCACCCACAATCTAAGTGCCCAGATGACCTGGCCCAGGGGTTACTATACCTAAAGGTCGTCTTCAGGTGGAATTGAGTAGCTGGACCGTGGGAAGAGGAGATATCTGGACATCCTCAGTCAGGACACTCGGAATATGCTCAGCATAGCCTTGTGCCCAGGAAGGATCCTGCTTTCCAACTTTCTGGTGTCTCGCTTGTGTTCACCTCTTTTGGCTAGCTTGAGACACCTTCTGGGGACAAGACACAAAAATATAAACTGTGTGATTTTGGTAAATCCATATCCAAGTTAAACCTCGACATTTGCATTTAAAAGTGGTATGGCATGAGATAAAGATGAAAAATGAAGTTCATGCTATTAATTTAAATTGTTAATTTTCCTATATTTAGAATGACATTAAACAGCAAATAAATGCCATGGCAAGTTGAAAGAGAGACACCGTGGAAGCGAAAAAGACAGATTTTACATCTTGGTATCTTTAAAAGCACCTTTTTTTTTTTTTTTAAAGGATTCAGCTTTTTTTAAACTCATTACAAAAAAACATTTATTCCAAAAAAACGAAAGCCTGTGCCATCATCACACTCCACAGATTTCATTTTTATTGCTTGCATTTTCTTCTCCTCACCTGGGGCAGCAGTGGTAGCAGAGTCAGGACTTTCTGTAGGTGCCACTCCAGCTTCAGGAGCAGCCCATGGGCTCAGTGCAGAGAAGGCTCCTCACAGTGACATTGGGCAGGGGCTTTGCAAACTAGCTGGGCCAGAAAATATGTATAACAGCTGCTTTAGTGGGCCTGTGACCTGCTCTGTGACGGTAATGGCACTGTCCTATAGGAGGAGGACCGGCTTCATTTTTCTTTTTTCTTTTTGTTTTGGTTTGGTTTGGTTTGGTTTTGGGGACAGAACTCAGAACTGTGCACTTTTGATTGTTTGTTCATTTTTTGGTACCAGGGATCGAACTCAGGTCCTTGCGCTTACAAGGTAGGCGGCAGAACCACTGAGCTAAATCCCTGGTCCTGGCTTCATTTTTGTGAGCAAGGAGCCTCTTGGTTTCCTTTTTTCTCTGGAGCACACAAGTCATGTGGCTGCTCTTGTTCATTCTCTGTATCCTGACAGCATCAATAAATCATTGGAACACGAAACCCAGTCTCTGCTTCAGACTCTTCTTCTAGGGAGCACAAATCAGATCCAGGAAAGAAAATACTAGAACTCCTAAAGAAAAAAACATGGAAACAGCAAGAAACATGGCATCACATCCTGCCGACCAGGGAAGAATCCAACTCTCCTCATCTCTGGCACTTTCTCCTCCCAACTCACCCTAGCTCCTCTCTGAACTGGTTACCACGAGAGTTTCGGGGGCTGTTTTCTAGCACTTTTTTCTTTTCACTGTTCAAGCAGATATTATGTAGCAAACAATGCCAGCTATCATTTACTGAGCATGAACTATGCACCAGGCAAGTACTTGCCATGTGACATTTTCTGTTGCTTTAACTGAGCACCAAAGAGGGGATTATTTTTAAACAGAAGAGGTTTATTTTGTTCGTGGTTCTGGAGTTCAAGAACACAGTGCAGGTATCTGGTAAGGGCTTCATCTCAAGATGGAAAAACAGACATGCAAGTGAGTGTAGGGAGTAAAAAGAAAACACAAAGAGCTGGCTCACTTTATAAGAACCTGTCTTATGAGAAAAAAGCTTGAAGAACTAAGCTCCTCTTCAAGGCCCCAGCTCCTAATACCACCACAATAGCATTCAATTTTCAACAAGAGTTTCACAAGGGACAAACCATATTCAAATGATCATACCAGCTAGGTGTGGTGGCCCATGCCTGTAATCCTCCCAGAACTCACGAGGCTGAGGCGGGAGGATCGAGCCACACATTTGAGGCCAGCTAGTGCTACATACTGAATTCAAGACCAGCCTGAACTACATTGCAAGATCCTGACTCAAAACCAGACCAAAACAAAACAAAACACAGCATACCATGTCTGTGGCCAATCCATGGTTAACCCTAAGCATAAGGATTGCCATAGTACAAGGAGGACCCTCAGACTCAATGAGATGAAGTCACTGGCTCAAGGTCACTCATCTAGCAAATGGCATCTTAGGTAGACTCTAGGGCCCTTACTTTTAATCATTAGACTATCTGCTTCTACCCACCCTGTGTAGCACAAGAACTAGAGGAGTACACAAGTTCAGTCTCAACATTTTCAAATACTGCACTCAACCAGAACCTCCCACAATAGAAATTGAGCTCAAAGTCCATCCACATCTGCCCCATTCCCCAGTGTGATAGCACTTCTAGATGCGTGAGTTCAGCTTCTGCCAAGACAGTTCTACTGATGAGGTTCTTGCTCCCAGAATAGGGATTCCCACCTTTTCTTAATAGCAATTATTGAACCTCCATCATTCCCTCTGAAACCTCTTCTCTTTGTTGTATCTCTGCCCTCTAAGAGAACACCTAAGCAGACTAAACAGACTGCATGGTGAGGCCCTTCTGGAAAGGAAATTGCTTCTTTCACAGACCCAACACTTGAGGCACTCTGAACATTCCTGATGGGGTATGGCTTTTACATTCCCTCCCATCCTAGGTGGCTCTCTCACTCCAGCTTCAGAAAGTCACATTTATGACTCAGGACTCTCTTGGTTCCAAGAGTCAGTAATTGAAATCCAGGTGACTAAGGAAAATAAAAACTAGGACCTAGGTTAATTGACTCAAGCAACTGAAATCAAGGAGATCTCAAATGGTATTGGAAACATGGGTCTTTCATTTTGTTGGTTTTGTTTCTGTCGTGACTTTCTGAATTAAGTTCTCTCTAGAGGGATAAAGCAAAAAAAGGCAATTTATATCCCCCAATCTTAGCACGTTGAATGAGAAAAGGAGATCACTAAAAGCACCAAAATCTAGCTCATGTCACCACCCTTAATCCAATCATTGTGACCAGAGAAATGAAACATGCTGATTGCCAAGCCTGGTTGCAGGATTACCGGGACCTGAGAATGGACTATGAGAAAAGGTACTGTATTAGTCCATTTTTCACTACTACAACAAAATATTTGAGGTAAGCCACTTATAAAGAAAAGAGATTTATGCTGGTTCATGGTTATGGAGGTAAAAGGTGTAAGGGCCTCCAGTGGTGACAGCCTTCTTATTGGTAAAGTCCTGAGGCAATGCAATGGATCATCTAGCAAGAGATAAGGAACATGCGGCCAGGAATTTAGCTCAGTGGCACTGCACCTGACGGTCAAATGCAAGGTCCGAAGTTCAATCCCTGGGACCAAAAAAATTGACAAAGAAATAAGGAATGTGCATGTCTGTGTGTCTGGTCTCTCTCCCCCACCTTACAAAGCCATCAGGATCCAATCCTGGTGCTCCACTCTCAGGAGCTCAGTCTGATCCTAATCACTTCCCAAAGGCTGTGCCTCACAACACCATAGTCAGGTTAGGTTTCCATCTTTTTAATACCATTAATATATGGCTTCGATGACTAAACTCTTGCATGAGTTGGAGAGACAAACCATAACTATTCACAAAGGAAAATAACAAAGTTATTTTTCCAAGAAGTGAGATTGGACAGAGGGCGAGCAAAACCCATAGATGCCTTCCAAGCACCCAGAGCCAAAAAGTATTACACCATGTACTCTGACAAACCCGGTGATGGTGAGATCTTAGTGCTCTTTGTTCTTCCCAGAGGAGGCATTTTTGGAGGCTCTAGGGAGAACTGGGTATGGCTTAGATAAAATTTCAAATTTTTCTTTTATTCCTTTTCTCACTATTTCTTTACTCAAGCCACTAACACTGACCCAGATTCCTTTCCATTGGAACTGGAGGCAAAAGAAAGGCCACATGTATGTGTCACGTTATCGAAGTCCAGCAGACTAAAATAAGGTATGTTCTAGGAAAAGGAAACATCAAGTGACTCTCTTGGGATTTGAGGAATAGCGAGAAGGCCAGTAAATGAGCAAGGTGAAAGTAGTAAAACACAGAGTCAGAGAGCCATGCCCGCCCTACCTTATGGGACCTGATAGAAGAAGACCCCATTCCAGATAAAGTCATTAGTATCACCATAACACTTCCAATCAGACTAGGGCTCTTTTTGCTCAGTAAAGCGTAGCTCTGCTAGCAGTCTTGATGTACCAGACAACACCAGGTAATGCTGGATGCCAACAACTGACACATCCAACTACTGGTCACTGCTGTTGCTGGCCTTCATACTTCCAATGGCATCTTGTGTTGGACACCACAGTTTGATTCTACTGGGTTCTTGATTTATGCTGCTGGTCTCTGCTGGCTGCTGGTCTCTAGAGTGGTTTGGTATTAAGAGCTCTGAGAGTCTACTACGGAGGATAAAAATCCCAAGAAGATTTATAGGACTGTGGCAGCCTGCATCACCAGAGAAATACAGTGGATGCTTGACTTACAAACTCGATCAGTTCCCAAGGAAGGGTTGGTTACAAGTCAATACAGCTGAGATCTGGACATTTCCTGAGATACTTGTTATAGATGACAAGAGGCAGATGAATCTTCCATTAACCTAATTAACCCAAGTTGTTAGGTCAGTCTAGTTGTGACTTTAGGCTCCACTGTAAATCACAAGCAGGTTTCTAGGAAGATCAGTGAGTTTTCATTGTAACAGGACCTGTGTTGCATCAAGGGGAAGCGGATGGTGTTGACAAAGAAAGCCCTAACCCCTGACAAGTTCTTGGGAAGTGCTACTTGTGCAGCAGCTTGAAGGCCTGTTTCATTGAGGGTGAGTGCTGAAACCAGGGAACCTTCAAAAGGCTTGCTTTGAATGTGGGTATGCAAATTAGGGGCCCAGATCCCTCCCTTCCTGTTCTCAGCCAGTAGTTTCTCGGAAGTGGCTGGAGTTGGGAAGGGGCACATACTGCTGGGCTGCATTCATGTGGGAGTGGAAAATGGTAATTTCATAGTCAGGAAGGACACCATTAGATAGCCAGGCAGGATGATGAAGTAAACTGTCCCAGTCCCTTGAGGTGCAAGGGGGAGCAATGGGAAACATGGAGAGGCAGCCAGCCACTGGCTAAGCCACACCCTCCTAGAACTGGCAGGGGAAAAATGAGTCAGGTGCTTCTCATCTGTCTCAATAAGATTTAAAATAATCAAGAAGATGCAGCACCATACCCATAGTCCCAGCTAGGTAGGATTGCTTGACCCCAGAAGCTCACAGTTAGCCTGAACAACACAGCTAAACTCTGTCTCACAAAATAAAATAAACAAG